CTGCCGGGTCGGGCGCGCTTCAACCTGGTTTCGAAGCTCCACCGCGCCAGTGGCGGTTGGAGAGGCACGCGATACCATGTCGTGTGGTAAGGAACTGCGCCGTGAGCGCCTCTGGGAGGGGCTGCGGCTGTTGTCCCCGAGTAGGAGAGCGAATGTGATGCCGTTCTGGAGCCCTTCGCTGAGATGTCCGCCCCGTGCGATTCTCAATGGAACGCGCGCGTTCTGTCGCAGACACGTCAGTGGGCGATGTGACCTGAGCCCATCGGCGGGGGCGCGCGCAAACGTTGTCTGGGGACTTTTCACTGGCGCCACCGCTGCAGGGCCCCCGCCGGCACAACGCCCGTCAGCGAAGGTTGGAGGAGAGGGGGGGGGTGAGGCCGATCCAGCCGTGGCTCCACGGCCTGCTGCAGGTGTTCCCACTGGCGCACGAGAACAATCAAAGGCGGCGACAGGAAGCGTTCCAGTGGGCGCATCAAGCGCCGGGGCAGCATGGGAGTTCCTCGGCGCGCGAGCGCGCGCGGGAGGCTGCGGCGGACAGTCTGGTAGAAATTCGCCCAGAGCAGCCGCGAGAGAGGCGGTGCTACCTTCTCCTGAGAAGGGGAAATGGGCACCGCGGATCCCCCCGCCCTCTCCGCGGCGTCGCCGCGACCGCGCGCCGTCGAGGACGCCGCGCGCGCGGCGGCGCTGCTCCCCGAGGGTGGCAGAGCCACGCAGCGGGGCCAACGACGACGCGAGTCGCAACGGCGAAGAGCGCAAAATAATAGGCTGATAACCTGCGAGTGTAGGGATGCGACAGGGAAGTTGATCCCACGCGCGAATCCGCAGGTAAAGGCGAGGGAGAGGAAGAGGTTAGCCACTCCTTTGCCGGGGCGCTGCGCGGTGAGGGCAGCGCGGCGAGTGTGCCGATGCCTGGGCCGATGCGGTAGCGGTATATGACGATATAATGGTGATGCGAGCGGACTTCACAAGCTTTTTGGTTTCTCGCTGTACTTCGAGCCGCAATGCTGGCCTGCCTCCTGGATGCCATTCATGGGCGCGCCGACAGTCCGGTCGCCGGCGCCCGCCGCGAGGGCGTCGCCCGCGCCCTGCTGCCCGAAAACGCCCGCTGCGTCGCGCATCAAGCTAGTCATCGCCATGGATGGCAAGAGCGGCGGTAAGAGGCAACCCTGTGAGATGTCGCGCTCCAGCGGCCAAGATGCGGACACTGATCCGGCTTCTCGCGCCCAGAACGACAGATTCGCGTGGATTGATCTCGCGCGCTCTGCCAAGCGGCGCAGGCGCGCCGAAACGGAATTGCATTTGCCAACCCTCTGGCGGCGACGCACTGTCCTCGGCCTTCGCCCAATCCGGCGCTAGGAAGATCGGCTGGTCGGATCGGGGCTCCGACGCGGCGTCGATCGTCCTCCGCGAGACAAGCAAGGCGTCTGAAGTGCCCCCGTCACTCCTGAAGCCGCACTGCGCGACCCACCCATATACGACAATCTGCCCCTGCGCCCCGCAGTCGAGCAAGCGAAATCGCGGCGCAGAGTTCGCCTTCGATCGGTCGCAGAGACATGGGCCCATGGGCGTCGCAGTCCGCGACGTCGCCCTTCTTGGAGATCGCTGCGACCAGAGTTTCGCGCCGAGCTGCGGAGGCGGACTGTTCGGCCAGGCGCGCGTTGCGCAGCGCCGTGGCCAACCCCGCTGCCGGGGAGTCCGCCGCTGGCGGGCCGCCTCGCGCGCCCCCCCCTGCGCTGATTTGACCGCGATCGACAGGCAACGCCTGGCCATTGGGAAAAGGGTCGTCGACGACGGCGCGGCGCATTGCACTGCGGAGAAATACTGCGCCAGAATTCCGGCTCTCTCGCCGCTGTCCACTTGGAATCCGCGCGAGTCCCGCGGCCGCCCCTACCCCGCTCGGGGGCCCTTCCTGAGTTTTCTGATCTCTGCCCAGTCACCAGACCAGAGGCTAACGTCTCGTCAAAGCATTCGCTGCGATCAGCTATCACAGCACAGCAGCGTTGATCCAGCCGCGCAGTCGCTCCTCCAGCCTCGTAGTCGCCACTTTGTCGCGCCACTCCCCACGTGGCAATCAGCTCGAGAGTGGCATCGCCGACGTACGGCCTGCTCCTGGCGCCCCCTCGCACCCGGTTTCCCGTGCGATCCACGAAGACGCGCTGGGGCGCCGACGCAGCTGGGCCACTCGACGACGCTTCTTGAATATCCAGCCGGGCCCACTGCTACTCGGCAGCGATCTGGATGTCCAGGCGCACGTGGCATTGCCGGAGGAAGTGGCGGGATGCCGAAGCGGCGCCCGGCGCAGAGTAGACATCGCAATCGCGCATTTGAAATTGCCGCGGGCGGAGCGAGAAGTCTGTCTGCCCTGAATGCTCTGGCGTGGCGCGGTCTGATGGCCAAGACCCCACGCTCTAGCATGCAACTTGCTTATGTGGCCGGCGGTCGAAAACCGCTGTGCTGATCGCCAAATCGCGAGACACACAAAAAGTTCCAGCAAAAAGGCCCTGTTCGACTCTGGGTTGAACTCCGCTCCATGGTTGCCAGAAAAGCAGGGGCCGACGTAGACCTCCTCGGAAGGACAACGTTCGTGAAGTCTGGTATTGACATCTCCCAGCCCAAAAAAAAATCCATGACCGGACGTGTTGCGAACAATCACGTTCAACGACACGTAAAAGTCGCGTGTGCCTGCCACTGGTTTGCCTCTGTGGGGCGCGCGCCCGCTGAAAATAGGAAATCTTCCTCCTGGAACCCGGATTTTGGTAGCAACGACCCTGGAGGACATTGTGCGAAATCCAAAGATACTCTCGCGAATGTGCGGGGGAATCGAGACGCCAACTCGGGCTGAATCCTGGTTTTCGGGGTACCCTGATAGCACCAATTAGAAGCCCCGGTCGGTAACAGTACATGTGGACTCGCTGTTGTGTGCCTCCTGGAGCGCCCAAGCATGGATGTCCCCATATTTCGCATGAGATTTCGTAGCTCCCCCAGCCTCGCATCCGTCAGCCCCTCGATGTTCCAAGGGCCCACGGCGACGCCCGTATCGCAAGGGCGTAGCCGCCCACCTTGGAAATCAGGGACACACTCTCCACGTGACGCACAGTGTCTTGGACTCAACGTGGTACTTGTACTGGTACTCGCTGCCTGCAAACCGTGCGAATGACTCCTGAAAACGATTGTGCATAAGTGCAATATTGAATAGTATTGCCGACTGCGGGTGGAAAGTCATTAATCTAATGCGTTTGTCAATAATGTGGACCGCGCCTCTTGGCCCTTCCTTTTGCGCCGCCTTTCACGCCCTGGGCAGCACGAGCCACAAGGTCATCCGACTTCCTCACCAACTCCTTCATCTTCGGGTGATCGCGGAGCTCCGCCCAAGTAGACCATTCACTTTGCCACTGATATTCCACGCTGTGGCCGACGATCTTCACTGTCAGCGCGTGTTCGCCCTCCGCGGTCACCACGTGCGGAGCCTCCCCGCTGACAGAGATCGTGTAGCCGATCTGCCACTCGTCCTTCAAGAGGCGCTTGGGCCCCAGGCAATAATTCCGGGCAGCACGGTCCGGTGCTGAACGGTCCTGGGCGGCCCAGACGTCCTAGTCCCCTGAGGTGTAGCCTGCGGTGCGGAACAGCTCCAGAGTTTTGTTCCGCGAGCAGCGTATACGAACGTACAAGACAAGTATACGATACTTGTATCAAACGTATACGACGGGTTCCTGAGCCGGGCCCGCTTGTCGACGGGGGTGGCCAAGGCCACCACTTCGACCTGGGCTGCATCGGGAGACGTCCCGCCTAGTAACATACGCACCCGAGTACTCGGCTGTCAGGTGAACAATCATTACGGGCGATCGGAAAATGCAATAACAACTTATGCGGGCAGTGGCGCCCCAACAGTACACGGACTGAGCGTATGCGCCTGTGTGTAGGCTCTGTCTTGAGCCCTTGAATTGAAAACCCAGCGGGCACCGCGCAAGGGGGATCAACAGTAGTTATTGTTTAGAATGAACATTCAACGCAACAGCCACCCAACAACAATCCGAAGCGCGAAATCCCGAATACAACGACGGGCCCAGGGACAGTGAATGACTGTTCGCCCTCCTCGCTCTGATCTGATTTAAAGCCTAGAGATTGAACATCGAGTACAGCTGCACGGCTGGAAGGCGGCTCACTTTAAAACTGGGGCTTTCGCTTGAGCCGTCCTCGACGTTCATGGCCAGAAGTGGACACTTGAGGCACAACTGCACAAATGGGGGGTGTTTTTTTAACACGGGACTGACGCTGGACACAACGCTGAAATGTATGATCCAACCTTTGCGCGTTCCTTCTCACTCGCCGGATGGACACGAGGCAAGTAGGTCAATTCAACATGGAGCTCTCGCCTGAATCGCACAAATGGCACTGGCCTTCTAAAGGAATGCTTCTTCAAGGGAGAATGAAGGCTTGTCGGTCCTTATGATAAGAATACTTGGGACAGGAGGGTACATTACACAATCGTTGATGCATCTTGGGTTGACTCTGGTCCTCTCACTCTCCTCCTCCTCCTCCTCCTCCTCCTCCTCTTTCATTGGACGTGCTGTCCGTGCTGCATTGCTCCTGGCCCTCTTCCTCTGACGCAGCGCCCCATATCCCAACAACTTGATTTTCGATGTCGGCCCTCTGGGCGCGGGACTGTTAAAATTCGTACGGCGCAAAAACCAATCCACGGAGAAGGGGTCGGGACCAGTCGGCTGTCTGGGAGAGCGGCCCTGGGCAAGCGTAAACCTTGGTGCGTGGCTTGCCGATCGTTGCGCGCGCTGCGGCAATGGCGGCCCACGCGCCTCGGGCTTGCCCCCCTCTGAACAACCCGCGTGTGTCAAAGGGCATTCCAGCATTCCGGCGAATGCCCTGTGTTTTCCATTCTGGCTTGACACCCCGAGTCGCTATGATTGGCGGTCCTGGGGGCTGGCGAGGGCCCCTGGAGGCCGCACGCGGCTGCAAACCTCCCGCGAACATGCGCGCGGTCGAGCCTCTGGCGGGCGCGAGGGCGCCGGCGCGGCCAGCGCCGCGGCCTTCCCGCCGCCTTCGGGGGCCTGCGGGCGGCTGGTGGGCGCAGGGTGCGCGGGGCCTTCGGCCGCCTCGCCCGCGGACCGCGGTTCTGCCTGCGGCGCCCGCGCGGGGGGCGGCGACGGCAGCGGCCCGTCGTCCACCATGCTGGACCAGCGCTCGTGCGCAGGCGCGGCGGGCGCCGCGGGCGCGGGCGCGGCGGCGGACGGTGCCGTGGTGGGCGCCGGGACGGCGGGCTGCTGAGGCTTCGGGCCTGCCTGCGGCGCCGGCGCCATGGGGGCGCCCGCGACAATGCCCGCGGGCACGAGGGTGCCGAACTGCATCATCGTGCCGCCCATCGCGCCAGCCATGTTGGCGCCAGGGCTGGCGAGCGCCGTACCAGTCGCAGCTGCCGGGTAGGCAACCCAGTGGCCCATGCCAGGCATGCCCATGCCCATGGTGGTATCCATGCCAGGCATGCCCATGCCGGGGTCCATGTGCGCGCCGCCACCATTGAAGGCTCCGCCAACAGGCTCTCGTATACTGTCGCCCCAGGGGCCGTTGACAAATCTTGATGCCGCCTGCTCTGCCTCGCGGAGTGTGCTCTCGTCGAGCGGGAAGCATAAGGAAATCAAGTCTACGGTGCGGGGGCCTTGTTTGGCTGCACTCTCTGCTCCCATGTCGGCCAAGTGCGCATGAACCAAGGCGACCCGCGACGCGGTTAGCCCAAGCCCGCAGCGAGGGCACTCACAGAAATGCCAGCCCTCAGAGAAAGAGAGCCACAACAGCTATCGGGGTCGGTGCGAAACCGATGGAGTGCCTGGGAAGCGACGCTGTCACGGACGATGGAGGACAGCAAACGCCTTGCGTCGTAAAGGAAATTGTGGGCGAAAGTATCCCGGCAAAGAAACCTAACAGCGATGTGTACGAGCGTATCTGGAAGCATTCCCCTTAAGATTCAGATGATAATCCAGTTGTAGAATTCTGCTGTTCTCGCAGTCGTAGTCGCATTCGCGATGACAGTCGCAGTGGCAACGGCAGTCGCAGTCACAGCCTCAGCCTTCAGCCTCAGCCTCAGCCTCAGCCTCAGCCTGCCTCAGCCTCAGCCTCAGCCTGCTTCAGCCTCAGCCTCAGTCTGCCTTCAGCCTCGGCCTCAGCCTCAGCCTGCCTCAGCCTCAGCCTGCATCAGCCTCAGCCTCAGCCTGCCTCAGCATCAGCCTCAGCCTCAGCCTCAGCCTCAGCCTCAGCCTCAGCCTCAGCCTCAGCCTGCCTCAGCCTCAGCCTCAGCCTCAGCCTCAGCCTCAGCCCTCAGCTCAGGCCTCAGCCTCAGCCTCAGCCTCAGCCTCAGCCTGCATCAGCCTCAGCCTCAGCCTCAGCCTGCCTCAGCTCAGCCTTCAGCCTCAGCCTCAGCCTGCCTCAGCCTCAGCCTCAGCCTGCTTCAGCCTCAGCCTCAGTCTGCCTTCAGCCTCGGCCTCAGCCTCAGCCAGCCTCAGCCTCAGCCTGCATCAGCCTCAGCCTCAGCCTCAGCCTGCCTCAGCATCAGCCTGCCTCAGCCTCAGCCTCAGCCTGCCTCAGCCTCAGCCTCAGCCTGCTTCAGCCTCCTCAGCCTCAGTCTGCCTTCAGCCTCGGCCTCAGCCTCAGCCTGCCTCAGCCTCAGCCTGCATCAGCCTCAGCCTCAGCCTCAGCCTGCCTCAGCATCAGCCTGCCTCAGCCTCAGCCTGCCTCAGCCTCAGCCTCAGCCTGCTCAGCCTCAGCCTCAGCCTTCAGCCTCAGCCTCAGCCTCAGCCTCAGCCTCAGCCTCAGCCTCAGCCCTCCTCAGCCCTCAGCCTCCTGCCTGCCTCAGCCTCAGCCTGCTTCTAAGCCTCAATCAGCCTGCCTCAACCTCAGCCTCAGCCTCAGCCTGCATCAGCCTCAGCCTCAGCCTCAGCCTCAGCCTCAGCCTCAGCCTCAGCATGCCTCAGCCTCAGCCTCAGCCTGCTTCAGCCTCAGCCTCAGTCTGCCTTCAGCCTCGGCCTCAGCCTCAGCCTGCCTCAGCCTCAGCCTGAGCCTGCCTTCCTCATGCCATCGCTGCAAAGCAAGACAAGACGAGAAAGATCGGGCGGACCCCAGGGCGGTGCTGGGGCTCAAGGCCGTGGTGTCGTCGATGTGAGTCGGTACGCGGGTGCGGCGCGCGGTCGCATGGCAAAGCAGAAAGACCACGGAAAGAGAGAGAGAGAGAGAGAGAGACAAACAGACAGACAGACAGACAGACAGACAGACAGACAGACAGACAGACAGACAGACAGACAGACAGGCAGGCAGGCAGGCAGGCAGACAGACAGACAGACAGACAGACAGGCAGGCAGGCAGGCATGCAGGCAGACAGAGAGGAAACAGACAACCAGAGATACAGAAAGCATATCGAGTGAAAGAGAAAAATAGAGAGAGAGAGAGGGTGAGAAAGAGAGAGAGAAAGAGGGAGAGAGGGAGAGAGAACAAGAAACACGAGTGGAAACGAAAACATGGGATATGCCACTAGAGCCAGCACTACCCCCGCCCAGACTCCTGCTGTATACGTATCCTCGGAGCGTCTTGACTGTCTGGCGGGGCCCACGTGCCTTGAAATGGGACTCCACTTCTCTCGCCCACGCTCATCCAGAGGGCTGGCAGTCTAAATTCTTCCTGCCGCGCAGCATTTTTCCAAGGAGCTGATGCGCCTCTCCCCTGTGTTGCATGGGGGTGGGCCTGGCTTCGAGGTGCTTCCAGACACCAGCATTGCATTCAAGGGTTGCGCCCGCCCCTGCACATCCGCCCAGCCACAATCATAGACAGTCGAATGTCACACTCTGCAACCTTCGATTCGCCCCTCGAGCAGTCGCCATCCAGAGAGGTGGGTGAGCTGTCACGGTGGCGGGAATTGTCGGAGGCAGCTGGAAATCCGCCGCCCCCTGCTGATTCATCACAGGGGTGCCTGGCGTGCTGAACTTCTTACGGCAGGTTCGCGTCGTGTCGACCCCGGCGTTGGTTTCTGACACCGCGGGGATCGTTCAACCTTGAACGATCGGCTGTTTCCGAAACGTCCAAATCGTTCCACATCGAACGATTGTGGGTCGCCCGCGGCGTTCCAGGTTGAACGCCGCTGGCGGGGTCGCCGCCGGTCGACACGACACGACCCTACCGTACGGTTTTGGTTTTGTTCTTTTCTGCCTAAAGAACTCTCCCAATGGACTCCGGCGCGTCCCGCCGGGGTCCCGGGAGGCTTGCCCAGAGGTGGCTGCAAACGGTTTTCCTGCCCCAGACGGCCCCAGGATGGCCTCCAAGACGGCCAAGATGCTTTCAAGACGGCCAAGATGGCCTTCTAGACGGCTCAGCTGGCCCCAATATGCCTCCAAGACGGCCCAATATGTACCCTAGACGGCCTAAGATAGCCTGAAGATGGCCCAAGAGGCCTCCAAGAGGTCCTCAAGGAGGGCCCGAAGAGGCCAAAATCATTGATTTTCCCGAAGTGTTTGGAGGATTCTGACATTTGCCTCTTTTCGGCCTATCGACGGCTCAAGTCGGCCCAAGAGGCCGCCAAGATCGCCCCCAAATCGCCCACGAGGCCTCCAAAAGGGCCCCATGACGGCCCAAGAGGCCTCCAAGACGGCCCCAAGAGGGCCCCAAGACGGCCCAAGAAACCTCCAAGACACCCAAGATGGCCTCCAAGACGGCCCCGAAGCGCGACAAGTGGACCCCAAGTCGGTTCAGAGAGGCCCCCAAGACGGCTCCCGACGGCGTCAGACGGGCCAGGAACCCACCAAGATGGCCGAAGTTGGCTCGAAACTGGCCGAAGACGGCCCAAAAGGCCTCCACAAGGGCCTCCAGGAAGGCCGGAAAAAATGCCAAAACCATAGATTGCCCATGAGTTTGTTGAACGGATTGTGGCATTTGCCTTTTTTTCGGCCTTCCGACGGCCCGAGACGGCCCAAGTGCCCCCAAAGATCGTCCAATAGGCCCAAGACGGCCCCAAGAGGCCCAGGCCCAAGAGGCCTCCAAAACGCTCAAGATGGCCTCCAAAACGGCCCAAGAGCCCTCCAAGACGTCCCCCAAGAAGGCCCGAAAGGGCCAAATTGGCCTCCCGACGGCCAAGATGACCTTCAAGGTGACCACTTGTTCCCCGAAGGCTTTCCAAACCGATTCGGGGGACGCGTGATCCAATAGCTTGGCAGGTTTGGCCTCAACGTTCGGCCACATAGGCACTTCCAAACAAGTAGGGGGCGGCTGTGATTCGCCGTGGGCGTCTTCGATCCGCCGCCCCCTGTCGATTCATCGCAGGGGTGCCTGGCGTGCCAAATTATATAGTCATTTGTTTCGCCTGGGCTTTGCTGAATCCAGATGCATGACGCGGCGCTTCTCTCGCCGAGCAGGCGCGCAGCCAAGCTCCACCCCTGCGCATCACCTCAGACCTTTGTAGGGCGGTGCGGGTGGGGCCAACAAAATTCTACAGAGATGGGGGGTGCACGGCGAACCAGATACGAATAACGTAGGAAACGAAGTATCGTCCGTCTTTTTTTCGCCAGGACTATGCCGCGGCCAGACGCGCGACGCGACGCTTCCCTCGCCGAGCAGGCGCGCAGCCAAGCTCGACCCGTGCACAGACGAAAAAAACGTAGTGAAGACTATACTTCTCGCATACAGCACTGCGCTGGCGCCCAGTGGCGCCGCCACTTCATTCTTGACCAGAGATTGATGGCCCAGCCTTTCTTCCTAGAGTTGCAGAACATACTGGCCAGAATGCGACGCAACTGCGGTGGGTATTCATTTTTCTGAACTGTTCTGAAGGAGGGGTCGCCCCGGGCTTTGCCCGCGAGCTGGATGTGGGGCTGGCCGGAAAAACTGCAAGTGCCACGACCCGTGCACTTGGCCTCGAGAAGCGCGCGAGGGACAGGGGGGCGCCAGAGTCGCAACTGGGCGCGAGCAAAGGAAGTCCCTAGCGACGGCGCAGTAGTCGACCACCACGTCGAACGCGTTGGGCTGGAGGAGGAAGCGCCCCCTCGAGGGCAGCGCCCAGAGGTGGGGCTGGGCGGGGTTCTCCTCGCCGCCGGGGACCTCGCGCTCCAGCGCCAGGCGGGCCAGCTGCCCAGCGCGGTCGGCCAGAGCGTTGCCCTCGGCGAGCTTGGCGGCGCCCCGCGGCGGGAGCCCAGCGAGGCCGCGGGGCTGCTGCGGCGGCCGCAGGGCCGCCGGCATCCGCGAGCCCGCTGGCGCTCGCCTGGCGCGGGAGAAGCTGCTGCGGCCCACGCGAGGGCGGAGAGGATCGAGCCCTTGACGACGTTGAAGACCTCCTGCGCCCTGAGGTCGCGACGCGGCCCGCGCCGCGCGTCGATGCTCATGACTGCGGCGCCGCGCCTGCGGAGGGCCTGGCTGAGGCGCCCCGCCCCGACGAACACCTCCAGGAAGACCTTGCCCTCGAGGGCGAGCCTTTCTCAGGGCCGCCCGAAGCTCGCTCCGCAAGCGCTTGGCAAGTGCGCCTCGCTGGGCTGGAGGTCGAGAAGCACGCGCGGGTCGAGCCTCTTGAGCTGCTCGCTGATCCCGGCCTGCTTCTGGTAGCGCTGGGCGCCGAGAGGTGACCCCCGCTTGCCCCGCAGCTGGGTGTCGCCCAGAGACCTCCGTCCGAGCGCCTTGTCGCGACTGGCTCCACCGCGACGAAGCCCGCGGGGCGTTGGCCGCAGTACCTCGCAACCCACGGCCGCCGCAGCCCTCTTCATCTCCGCCAAGAGTTCGCCGCGCGAGATTGGGCACAGGCGCTGCAGCGGGGCTCGACGCTCCTTTCGCTTTAGGAGAGCGTGTCCGACCCACTGGTGCTCGGGAAGGTCCAGGGCCTCCACGAGGCCCGTCTTGGAGGGCGCCCCGAGGTCCTCTGGGTGGAGGACGATGGTGGCCTGGCCCAGGGCGCCGGGCATCCCGCCGATCGGCCTGATGACCTGCCCCCCGAGCAGCGCGAGCCCCTCGCGAGGCTAAGAGCCACTCGGCGATCCCTGCTGCCGCCAGCCAGGGGATCGGCGGCCGCGACTGGGGCGGCCGCAAGCGGGCCCACCCGGCGGCTGTCTGGTGGGTCAGCGGGAACGTGGACCGCATGGTCAGCCCGAGGGGCGGCAGTGCCCACGGCAGCGCGGACGCGATGAGCTTCCCGGCGTGGGGGCCGCCGCCGCGGTCGAAGAGCACCGACAGGAAGTCGCTCAGGTGCTCGCCCCGCGTGCTGGCCGCCCACTCGGGCAGCGGCGTGACTGCAAGCCAGCCGGCGAGCTCCATCAGCGCCCGCGCGTACTGTACCTGCGTGGGGGGCCGCGCGCTGTTCTGCGCCAGCCTGGGCAGCCGCGGCGCCAGCCGCTTGATGCCCACCTCGGCGGCGAGCCCGGGCGAGGGCGCGGGCGGCGAGCGCGGGGGGCGCAGCGCCCCGAGGCCGCGCGTCGGGCGCCCGGGCCGGGGCGGCAGGCGTGAGCGGGCGCCCAGCCCGCCGCTGTCAGCGCAGTCCAGCCCGGCGGCCCCCTCGGAGTTGAGGGTCCTCTGAAGCCGCGCCTCTGGCGAGCGACTCCGCTGCCTGTGGGCCGCCCGCGGCGGGGCCTCTGCTGGGGCCCGGCCGGCCAGCGCGGTGGCGAGGCGGCGAGCCTCCATGGCCGCCCCATCCAAAGCCCTCGCCTCGAAACCGAGTCGCTAGGGTTCAGCTCCGAAGTGCGCCAGCGGAAGGAGGGGCGGATGCTGGCAGCAATGTGATTGGCGGCCCGCTCCCGGAAGGCAGTGATGAGCGAGAATGCGGCAGCCCTCCCCCTGCAAGCAGCACACGTGACAGACATGTTGTCCCCGATGTAGAGAGCGCGACTGTGATGGCGTTTGAGCGAGCGGACCGCGCGGCGGACGCGCCAGGTGAGGGCCGCCGCCTCCAGGTTGTGAATTGAATCCGGCCGACGGAAGGCGCGGGGGGCCACTGCTGCCCACCCATCGCCTCGCAGCAGCTCGCGAGGCACCTCCTGGAAGTGGGCATGCCCCCCGGAGAGAAGGACCGCAGCATCGGGCAGCCTCAGAAGCTCCTCCTCGCCATGCAGCCGTGCGTGCTCACGCTGGCTGCCCCCGGCGGTTGCGAGCGGGCCGCGGAACCGAGCGCGCTCGCGCAGCCGCCTCGCGCGGCCCGCGTCAGCGCTGCCCCGCAGGCTCTCGGCGGCGCCACACACCCACTCGGAGGCATCGTGGGCGGTAACCACCAGCAGCCACTTCAGGTCGGAGCGGGCTACGATGGTGGGCAGCAGGGCATGCGCCCAGCGGAGATCGCGGCGCGCGCTGGGCCAGGGGCGCCCCGCGGCGTCCCAGCTTCCGGCTGAACTGGAAGACAGCGGAGAGGACGGAAAGCAGGTCGCGGCGCGGCATCATCATGGAGACCAGGTGCCCGACGAGGCGCTCCAGCTCCGGGCCAGATGGGGTAGCCCCTGCTCGCAAGACGTACTCGAGGGCTTTCGCCACTCGCCAGAATGTTTCGGGCGCGGGCCGCCAGAGCCGCTGGTGCGCCACGTGCTCGAACCCCAGCAGCTCCAGCGATCCCGAACTCGGGTCGGGCTTGTCCAGGTGAGCCTTCACGCCCGCGCCGTCGAGCTCCATCAGCATGTGAGCGACCCCGTTCACAGCCTCGCACTCGTTGTCGGAGATCACGGCCAGGTTGTCGATGTAGCAGAGCTTGGAGTGGCCTCGCAAGTGGGCGTCGCTGGCACCTTGTCCCTCAGCCAGGGGGCCGAAGGTACGCGCGAGGCTAGCAGGTGCTCGTGCGCCCTCTGAATAAAGTGCACCGCCCGCGCCCAGCCCATCGGCGCGCCGCGCGCCTGGAAGGCGCACTCGTCGTCGCCCTCCGCGAGCCCCAGCCACTTGCGCCACCTGGCAGGCAGGTGGCGCGCCAAAATCGGCGGGAGCACGAACAGCGGCCGCAGGCTGGCGGGCAGCTCGCACTGGTAGAAGCAGATCTCGACATCGGCAGAGGCCGCCCAGAGACGCGCTCCGGGCTCGCTCTCGAGGTCCGCCAGCGACTCACCGCTGGCTAGCGAAGTGCACAGAGGAGGAGCAAAGTGACAGTTGCTCCGCCCAGTGTCGAAGATCAGCCTCAGCAAGCCATCCTTGCGCTTGACGAAGAAGGCCCCCGCGGTCTCCTTGACGACGGTGGCCTTCTCCAGGATGCCCTTGTCCAGGAGCTCAGCTCCGCCGGGAAGCGCCCGCGCATGAAGCCCCATCAGCCTCAGCACGGGGTCCAAGGCCATGGCGGGCCCGAGCTCGCGCAGCGCCGCCTGCGCCTCCGCGGGATCGCGGAGAAGGCCGCTGCACCCTGCCAGCATGCACTGCAAGCCTCCGGGACCACGTCGCACAGCGGCGCTGCCCCAGCACGTGACTGCGGCGGAGAGATCCTGCCAGGCTGGAAGGTTGCATCAAAACTGCCGGCCACACTCGAGTCGACGTAGCCGCCGCCGCTACCCTGGAGCACCTTCTATGCTCCCAGGGGGTCACCATCAGCCGGTGGAGGTCCGCGCTCACCGTAGAGCTTGGCCAGGGGGCGCACCGCCGAAGCCTGGGCGGCGGTCGCCTGGGCATCGCTGGACGCCCTGCCGCCACCTCCCAGCTCGCTCAGCGCGTCCAGGCCTGAGCGGAGCCGCGCCTCCTCGACCCGGCGCCGCCAGGCTTTCCGGTTGCCCGCTGCGGAGAGCCCGCCGCCCGTCGTGCCGAGGTGCAGCTCGTCGAGGGCCCGCCCGCCCGCGAAGGGCAGCAGATCGCGAGGGCGGTCGTCCGGGGGCTGAGGGCCAGACGCCATGCCCGAGCCAACCACCTCTATAGCTGCGGGCGCAAAAGCGCCGGCGTCCCCTCCCGGAGGGGCGCGCCGGCAGGGTGAACTTCAGGAGCGGCCTCACCGGCCGCGGCCGCGCGCCTTCGCGCGCGCGCCGCTGCCGCGGGCCTCGCCCGGCTGCTGCTGGGCCTGCCTGCCTGCCGTGGCCCCCTGCGCGAGCCGCTTCTCCCCCCCCCCCCCCCCCTGCGCTTCTCATCCCATGGGGATGGCGCTCTCCTGGGCGAGCTTGCCCGCCGCGTGCTCCTCGAGCGCCGGGCAGACCAGCGCCGCGCCCTTGCTCCGCGAGCTCCCCAGGAAGATGCGGCGCTCGTCGAGCCAGGAGCCGGCCGTCGCCCCCCTCGCCCGCTTCGGCCGCCCGGAGCTCGGTTGCGCGCAGCTCCCCCCAGAGCTGGTAGCGCCCCGACAGGACCTCGGACGTCTCCAGCTCGGAACCCTTGAGCTGGTCGAAGACGCAGGCCCTCTCCAGCACCTTGGAGATGTAGGCGTGCTCCTCCACACCGGCGTCGCTCGGCGAGACTGCAGCAGGTTGCGCCACCCGAGAAGGCGCTGCGTGGGCGCCCAGCCCGCGTCGCGGATCGCCTGGAGGAGCCACTTGCAAGTGCTGCAAGTGCGGGGCCCGGCCACCGACCAGCCGGCCTGCGCCGTCTCCGAGAAGCAGACCACAGCGTCGCCATACTCCCTGAAGCGGCGGTTGCTCCTGTCGAAGCGCACGGGGAGGGTGCGCAGGCCCCCCTCGCCCGCGCCTGAGGAGAGCGACCCCGCCGCGGCCACGCAGAGGGGCCCAGCACCGGGCACCGTGAACACGCCGCGGTCGCCGGAGGCGAGCAGCTGGCCCGTGGAGACGGCGACCGCGTCGCCAAGTGTGAAGCCGCGGCGGGACTCGGCGGCCACCCCGGCCACGCCGGCGGCGGCCCCTGGGAGGGCCGCAGCGGGCACGCCCGCCTCGCCGGGGGCGGGAGCAGCACCAGGGCCAGCACCGCCGCGAGGAGGAAGCACATGCTGCGCCACGAGGACCTGGCGCGACTCGGCGTCGATGTCGAGGTCGCCCTCGTTGTCCCGGACGTAGTCCTCGCCGGCCTCGAGCAGCTCTCGCTTTTCCTGCGCCGCGAGGTTGACGAATCTGAACACCTCCACGTTCGCCATGCCGGCGCCGAAGCCCCCCAGCGGCCCAACTCGGTGCACCCCATCGCTCTCCATGAGGTCCTCATCGTAGATGTCGCCACTAGGCGTCGCCACCACCCACCGTGATGGCGCCAAGCGGGCGACCAACAGCCGTTCGTGCCATAGTGGGTACCCCTCGTACCGCACCAGGACTCGAGAGCCCCGCTGGAGCTGCGAGAACCACTCCAGCCGCGCCTCGCCTTGGCGCCAACCATCCTGCATGCCGTGAACCGATCACCAAACACGCGCCGAAGAGCACGCCCGCGAGGAAGAGGCCCACCCCGACGAGCGCCAGGGTGGTCACCGGCGGTGGCGGCAGCGCAGGGCAGACCTGCCCGTGGAGCTGCTCGGGCCGCAGCGATCCAGCTGCCGCTGCAGCACCTGGAGGAAGCCGTGGTCTGGGGCCGCGGACCACTCGCAGTGGCAGTCGCAGCGCCCGCCCGCGGCCAGTCCGCCAATCGCGCCCGCGACGACCGAGCTGGTGACGGAAGAGGCGCCCTGAAGCACGCTGGTCAGCCAGGCCATCCACTCTGGGCCCAGCCTGAACCAGAAAAAGGGCTACAGAGACGGGAAGTGCACGGCGAACCACAGACGAATAACGTAGGAAACGAAGTATGGGTTTTGGTGTTGGTTCCTTTTCCAGAAGAACTCCCCCTGGGGTTCCGGCGCGTCCCGCCGGCCACCCGGAAACTGCACAAGTCAATGCCTGTTCCGTCCCAAGATGGCCCAAGATGACGTCCAAGACGGCCAAGATGGCCCAGGATGGTCTCCAAGACGGCCCAGATGGCCTCCAAGACGGCTAATTTGGCCCCAAGATGCCTCCGAGACGGCCCAAGATGTACCCAAGACGGCCTCAGATAGCCTCACGATGGCCTCAACATGGCCCAAGAGGTCTTCAATACGGCCCAAAAAGGCCTCCAAGAGGTTCTCCAGGAAGGCCCGAAGAGGCCAGAATCATTGATTTTCCATAGGTTTTTGAAGGATTTGGGGAATTTGCTTCTTCTCGGCATTCCAACGGCTCAAGACGGCCCCCAAGATCGCCCACGAGGTCTCCAAGATGGCCCCATGACGGCCCAAGAGGCCCCCAAGACGGCCCCAAGAGGGCCCCAAGAGGCCTCCAAGACGGCCAAGATGGCCTCCAAGACGGCCAAGATGGCCTCCCAAATGGTCCAAGATGGCCTCCAAGTCCGCCCAAGAGAGGAGGAGATGCCTCCAAGACCGCCCAAGAAACCTCCAAGACGGCCCAAGACGGCCCAAGAGGTGCCCAAGAGGCCTCCAAGACGGCCCAGGAGGCCTCCGAGAGGGCCTCCAGGAGGCCCGAAAAGGTCATTGATTGTCATTTGGTTTTCGAAGGGTTTTCGTATTTGCTCCTTGTCGGTTTTCCGACGACCCAAGACGGCCCAAGAGGCCCCAAAGATCGCCCCCACAGCGCCCAAGAGGCCTCCAAGATGGCCTCAGGACTGCCCAAGAGGCCCCCAAGACGGCCCCAAGAGGGCACAAAGACGACTTCCAAGACGCCCAAGATGGCCTCTAAGACGGCCCTGGAGCACCCCAAGAGGGCCCCAAGTCGGCCGAGAGAGGCCCCCCAAACGGCTTCCGACGGCGTCAGACGGGCCAGGAGCCCACCAAGATGGCCGAAGTTGGCTCGAAGCTGGCCCCAAACGGCCCAAGAGGCCTCCAAGATGGCCTCAGGACTGCCCAAGAGGCCCCCAAGACGGCCCCAAGAGGGCACAAAGACGACTTCCAAGACGCCCAAGATGGCCTCTAAGACGGCCCTGGAGCACCCCAAGAGGGCCCCAAGTCGGCCGAGAGAGGCCCCCCAAACGGCTTCCGACGGCGTCAGACGGGCCAGGAGCCCACCAAGATGGCCGAAGTTGGCTCGAAGCTGGCCCCAAACGGCCCAAGAGGCCTCCAAGAGAGCCTCCAGAAAGGCCAAACAGATGTTTTAAGGTTTTTGGCATTTGATGCTTTTCGGCCCATACGGCCCAAGAGCCGCAAAAGATCGCCCAAGAGGACTCCAAGATGGCCCCAGAACGGCCCAAGAGGCCCCCAAGACGGCCCAGGAGGCGTTTAAGACGCCCAAGATAGCAAGACGGCCCTGGAGCATTCCAAGAGACCCCAAGTCGGCCCAGAGAGGCCCCCCAAACGGTTTCCGACGGCGTCAGACGGACCAGGAGCCCACCAAGACGGCCGAACATGGCCCTAAGATTGCCCAAGACGGCCCAAGAGGCTTCCAAGAGGGCCTTAGGGAGCTCCACCGAAGGCCCCAGTGGGGGTGCCCGCATGCGGTTCCCCCACCCAGGGCAACGTTTCCTAGCCCCACAGGGAGTTCCATCGAAGGCCCCAGTGGGGGTGCCCGCATGCGGTTCCCCCACCCAGGGCAGCGCTTCGTAGCCCCATAGGGAGCTCCACCGAAGGCCCCAGTGGGGGTGCCCGCATGCGGTTCCCCCACCCAGGGCAGCGCTTCGTGAGCTCCACCGAAGGCCCCAGTGGGGGTGCTCGCATGCGTCTCCCTACCCAGAGGTAGCGCCACCGAAAACGATATAACGATATTCATATTTGCGGTATTCACAACTGCATCTGGTTGGGTCCGTCGCCAGGCTAATTTTCTGCCTTCCAACGGCCCGAGACGGCCCAAGTGCACCCACAGATCGCCCAAGAGGCCCACGACGGCCCCCGGAGGCCCCCAAGACGGCCCAAGACCAAGACGCTCAAGATGGCCTCCAAGACGGCCCAAGAGCCCTCCAAGACGTCCTCCAAGAAGGCCCGAAAGGGTCAAAATGGCCTCCAGGCGGCCAAGATGACGCTCAAGATGCCCACGTGTTCCCCGAAGGCTCTCCAAACCGATTCGGGTAACACATGGTCCGATAGCTTGGCAGGTCTGGCCTCAACGTTCGGCCACCTAGGCGCTTCCAAAAAGGCAGGGGGCGGCGGTGATTCGCCGTAGGCGTCTTAGATCCGCCGCCCCCTGTCGATTCATCGCAGGGGTGCCTGGCGTGCTGAATCCTCTCGGTTTGGGTTTTGGTTCTTTTTCCAAAAGAACCTCCCTGGGGCTCCAGCGCGTCCCGCCGGGGTCCCGGGAGGATCTTCCAGGAGCTCAATTCCCCCAATGTTCCCTCCATGCCTCCAAGATGGTCCAAGATGGCCTCCAAGTCCGCCCAAGATGGTCCAAGACGGCCTCCAAGACGGCCTCAGAGAGTCCAAGATAACCCCAAGTTCGCCCAAGAAGCCTCCAAGACGCCTCCAAGACGGCCCAAGAGGCCTCCAAGAGCTCCTCCAGGAGGGCCCGAAGAGGCCAAAATCCTTAATTTTCCGTAGGTCTTTCAAGTATTTTGGAATTTGCTTCTTCTTCCGACTGCTCAAGACGGCCCAAGAGGCCCCCAAGATCGCCCAAGAGGCCCCCATGAGGGCCCCATGACGGCCCAAGAGGCCTCCAAAACAGCCCCAAGAGGGCCCCAAGACGGCTCAAGAGGCCTCCAACACGCCCAAGATGGCCTCCAAAATGTCGAAGATGGCCTCCAAGATGGCTCCGAAGCACCCGGAGAGGGCCCCAAGTCGGTCCAGAAAGGCCCCCAAGACGGCTCCCGACGGCGTCAGACGTGCCAGGAACTCACCAAGATGGCCGAACTTGGCTCGAAGCTGGCCCAAGACGGCCCAAGAGGCCTCCAAGAGGGCCTCCAGGAAGGCCAGAAGAGACCAAATACATGTTTTTCCCCTAGGTGTTTGAAGGATTTTGACATTTGCTGTTTTTCGGCCTTCCGACGACCCAAGAGCCCCCAAAGATCGCCCAAAGATCGCCCAAGAGGCCTCTAAGATGGCCCCAGAACGGCCCAAGAGGCCCCCAAGACGGTCCCAAGAGGCCCCCAAGACGGCCCAGGAGGCCTTTAAGACGCCCAAGATGGCCTCCAAGATGGCCCTTGAGCATTCCAAGAGGGCCCCAAGTCGGCCCAGAGAGGCCCCCCAAACGGCTTCCGACGGCGTCAGACGGACCAGGAGCCCACCAGGACGGCCGAACATGGCCCTAAGATGGCCCAAGACGGCCCAAGAGGCCTTCAAGAGGGCCTCAGAGAAAGCCACAAAAGGCCGAAATCATTGACTTCCCATTGGCTTTTGCTTCGTTCGGCCTTCTGACGGCCCGAGACAGCCCAAGTGCCCCCAAAATCGCCAAAGAGGCCGAAGACGGCCCCCAAGACGGCCCAAGAGGCCTCCAAGACGCTCAAGATGGCCTCCAAGACGGCCCAAGAGCCCTCCAAGACGTCCTCCAAGAAGGCCCGAAAGAGTCAAAATGGCCTCCAGGCGGCCAAGATGACCTTCAAGATGCCCACGTGTTCCCCGAAGGCTTTCCAAATCGATTCGGAGAACACATGGTCCGATAGCTTGGCAGGTCTGGCCTCAGCGTTCGGACGCATAGGCGCTTCCAAAAAGGCAGGGGGCGGCGGTGATTCGTTGATTCGCCGTACGTAGGCGTCTTCGATCTCTGGAAGACGATCTTGTTTGTTGGCCAAATTTTACGCACTTTCGGCGCGATCGGGCGTTCATTGTCACTGACTGCCGACTGACCTGCAGCGTGGTTGGAGCAGGCAGGCGCCAGACTATTGGAAGGTGAGCGGGAGCGGCGGGGAACAGCACGCCTTGTCGCCTGCCCAGACCGCCAAATTAAAGAGGCTGCTTTCGGCTTCGAAGCTCTCTCTCTCTCTCTCTTTCTCTCTCTCTCTCTAGCCTTCTCCCCTCCTGGAGCTCCTCGCGGGGATAAAATACTTACGCGGAAACACGATGCATCTCGGCACATCCGGCTCGTAGCCGAGCCCTTCAGCGGGCAGGCCGTCTTGCCTTCCCTTCCTCCCCCTCCGGAGCTTCAGCTCAAAACCAAAGACTGCTCGTACCCAGACCAGACGATGGCCGGCTCGCCCCCCATGAAGGCCTCGAACTCCTGGTGGTGGGGCTGCGACTTGGAGCCATCTGGGTTTATTACGCGCACCAGGTCGTAGCTACCTATTTCGAGGTGGCCAGAGAACGCGGCGCTGCGGACATGCCAATGAGACCCTGGGTTGCCGTCGACGACCTCCCCAGCGACCTCTTCCAACGAAGTGAAAACGTAGCGTGAGACCTGCTTCAACTCCGCGGGGTCATCCCGAGGGTGCACCTGCGCAGTCGCGAAGGTGAGGTTTTCACTTGCAGGGAGCCCCGCGCACCTGGCCCAGTCAGGGCAGGAGTCGAACGACAGCGAGACCAGGCCTGTGCTGTCGAACTCGGCAAGTCCCGACCCGCCCAGCAGTTTGTAGAACCAGCCGGCACTGCTGACAGAGCGTGGGGGCCGCAGCCTCGGGCCGCCGAACCAGGCCCGGCTCAGGGGAGCCTTGGGCACCATGAGGGCGCCCCTCTCCCCGTGCCACTCCCCGTGCTGCACCGCGACCAGCACCTCGGGCAGCGCGTTGCCGCGCATCCAATAAACGCCTCGCAGCTTTTCCGGCACCGCGCGCTGGCTCTGATTCTTGGTCCCCCTCGTGGCGTTGAACAGCAGGCTCGGCGCATCGCTGGCATTGGCGAACCCAAAAACCTGTCCGCTCGCGTTGTCAGTCCAAGGCCTATGCAGTCGAGAGGCGAACGCGTGCAGCGCCGAGGCGTTGACCAGCTCGGCGCCGCTGCCTAGCTCCGGCGCCGCAAGATCTGCCACGTTGCTCGACGCTCGAGTGGCGCAGACGAAGGCGGTCACCCCCGCAGCCAGCACAACCTCGACGAGCACACAGCAGATGCCGCACAGCCACCTGCAGCAGGAGGGGCAACATCCACTCTGGCCGCGCCCTGGCGGAGGGGCCTTGCCCTCATAGTCCAGGGGCAATCCCGCGGGTGCAGAGTGATACTGCAGCATGGGCTCCTGCTCGGGCAGCAGGTGCACCTGATGCAAGGAACGCTCCTCGCCTTCGGGGGCCACCATCAGCTGCCGCTGATTCCGGCTCGAAGGGCGGCTCGGCCTGTAGCCCGCGTCTGCAGAGAGAGAAAGAAAAAGCCGGCACAACCGTAAACTTGCATAGCTCCGCGTGGGCATGTCTCGGATCGGCGCTGGACCCCCCTCCCTGAGCGCGCGGAGCGCGCCAAGGGCGTCGCCGCCTGGGCGGCCTCGCGCCGATCCGATATATCCTCGCGGACCTCCAGCAGTTGACTCTGAGGAGCTCAGCTGGATTACGTAAACCTGCAACCCCTTCGCTTGTCTCGGGCCGCGCACGTGGTGGGCAAAGTTCCCACCACCACTACCATATGTAGGACGGGTACGGGTGAGGAGGGAGGATGAGGTCCTCCTCCTCCTCCTCCTCCTCCTCCTCCTCCTCCTCCCTTTCCTACATAACGGTAGCGGTGGTGGAGAATCGGCCCATCGGCACAGCTGCGCACAGGTCTCCCGTCGGACCTCTGAAAGTTTGTGCTCACGCATGCTGTTTTTTTGCCTCTCCGAGCCTGGGCTCGGGCCGCCGAGGAGGAAGTCCTGCGGGGCACCACTGTCGCGGAGGGCGTTCCTTTAGACGAGCGCGTTCCACTACTCGCAAAGTAACTACTCGCAAATGGCCTGGATCCGTCGAGGGGGATCTACGATACATTACATCGAAGCGGGCATGTATTTTTCTGACGTTTGCGAGTGGGCACTCTGCGAGTAGTGGAACGCGCCCGGTGATCCTTGGCACGAGGCGGACGTATCCTGAGAGAAACGGGCCCTGGACATCCGGGACTTCTCCCTGTGAGCACGTCTTCCCTCACCTTCTCCCGTCATAGAACAATCACGACGAGCGGCTGTGAGCTGTTCTCGGCCTTCGGGGGCCCTTTCCAGGCCCTGGGACCGTCAAACACGACTCGGGGTGCAAAGCTGGTCCTAGGCTAGGGAAGGAATCTCCTGGACCTCCAGGGATCCACGCTGCAAACAGGATCACGACGTCGGAGTTCTGGGTTCGTCCTCTGTTGTTTTTGCTGCGGCCCGGGGCTCATGGAAAACCCAAGGAGCCTGGAAGCGGCTGAAAGCCTCCAGGCCCGCTTCCCTCGGGACCCGCTTGCTTCCCGGCGGAAACTCCACGGCATCGGCGCCACCAGGCCAGCCACCGCCCGCTGCCCCGCGTAGCCACCCTGCCTCGGCCACCTCTCCGTGTTGCAGCAGAGCATCTGGCGCAGCTCCACCACGGGCGTCCGCATCGCCTGTGGGCCCCCTCCTGGCGGGGGCGGGGGCCCCTTCGGGGCCCGGCCGCCGCCCGCCTCAGGACTGGGGCGGGCAACCCTGTGGAGGGGATGGCCTGAGCCAAACAGCTGGTCAGCAGCGGAGTCGGAGCGAGTGCTCAGCGAGTGCGTCGGATCGGGCTGCATCAAAACGCAGTCGGAATCGAACGCGAATCGGCCACGGGCCAGGCGGGCCGGGCCTCGCCTGGCCCCCTAGGCGCCCTAGGAGAGCTCTGAGATACAAGCGTTGTGTATGGTTCACGCCGGGCGTTTTCACGCCGGTTTTTTGGGCCCTGGGGCCCTCACAGATTCATCCGGCTCGAAAGATGCCGCGGAGAGATGGGTGTGGGCTCCCGTCGTGATGTTTCACGACGTTTGGTTTTTGCCGCGAGTCGGACCTCAGGGAGGGCGGGGTACCCTGCGGAGGGCATCGTTTCAGCCAACATGGCCGTCGGGGTCACCGAACTTCGCGCCTGGCATGCGCGGGCGCGCGGGCTCTCTCGCAGCCCCACCTGCAGAGGGGCAGTTCGCCAGTCCAGACCACGACATGCGAAACGCGACTATCTTCGCGCCCTTGCGGGCGACCTGGGCTGCGGTATCTTTGGAAGACCGTTCTGAGCTGCACATCCTGGACCTGTCCTGTTTCAGCGCAGGGAGGGGGAGGGAGCAGGGGGGGATGCGTGAGGGGGTAGAGCGGAGTTTCGTATCAACGGCTTCGATGACATTTCGACTCATCGCATAACCGTCGAGCGGCACCTGGATCCTGGACCACTCGTGCCTACCACCCGTTACCTGCCGCAGGGTGAAACGGGAAGGCGAGTACAGGGAGTAGACTGCGGAGGATGAGACAGGGTGGCTGAAGGACTGGAAGATGAGGCGGGGGACGGAAGTGCCGTCGCCAAATGAGGGTCGTGAAGCAATTGCTCAATCGACGTGAACCGCCGCTTGTCTGGTCGGAGGCAAGGGGGGCAGTGAGGGCGGGCAGCGAATAAGCTCACGTAGCTGGTTTTCTGCGTGTGGCAGAAGCGCCAATGTATCAAGGAAGGCGCCTGGAGGTGGGGCCCAAACCAGCTGCACGCAGAAGATGTCGTATCCCCCGTTTCCCGACTTGGGGGCGCGCACAAAGTGTGGCGCGAAGGGAGGGGGGGCGGCGGTAGGCGGGTGGAGTGGGGGGTTCTTGGAAGGCAAAGGCCTTCGCAGAGGGCATCTAAAAGGCCCCCTGCCTTCCAAGAAGCCTCCCCCCGCCTCTTAGAAGGCCGCCCCCCTCGCGCCACAACGTTGCGCGCGCCGCCAACACCTGCCATCCGCCGGTGTAATTCTTTTAGTCCGCGGCCCAAAGGTCCCGACCGCCCCCCCGAGGGTCGCCCCGGATTGATGTTTGATGTTCACGGGACCTCGGTCGAGGGCCGAAATGCAAGACAACCCGCCGGGAATGAACAAAACATATCATCGAAGATCGGGGGTCCGAACTTGCTGTTCAGCATCCCGGCTGGCCTCGTGTTCAAGCCGCGCTGATCGAATCCTGCCGCGGCCAGGTCAGCTCGCCGGGGCGAGCCGCGCAGCTGCTGCACCGGTGGCCTGCTCTTCTCGCCCCTCGTGCGGCCAGGGAGGGGAGCAGCACTGAACTCAGCCCCTGCTGCCAGCCACAGCTCGTGCTCTGTGGTACCTGTGATGCGAGCGCTGCGGATGTCACTTCGAGCGCTCGTGTTCTGTTATCCAAACAGACATTGCTTGTAGGGTTCTTACTTAAGTAGGTAGGTCATAAATTGGACGGGTGTGGCGAGGTTTCGACCCGTGAGCCTGCCGATGGCCGCCTGCCCATAGCTTGCACCACGTAGCTTCCACAACATATAGCTCACACCACAATTGTCCTCCTCCTGCCCCACGCCGAGGCCTGGGTCATCCGCCCCTCTCCGCGTATGTGTTCCTCTGAACGATGCTGGCCGGACCGGCCCGAAACGACACTCCCCGCTATCTCCCGCAAACAACCCCTGCGCGATGCACATGCGTCGATGTGAGAATTGATTAGTATGATGATCCCTTGCACACCAAACAAATGGGGCACGTGCGCGCGCCGCCGCGCGCACGCCAAGATCATTGAAAAACCATTGTCATGTTCAAGATGTGACTGCAGTCACGACGCTGAGAGAAGAGCCTCACGAAGGGCTCCGTTTTTCGGGCTGTTCCGTAGAGCTAGGTCGGAAACACATTCGTGGCCGAAACTCGCAGAGGCCAGGAAAGCCCCTCCGTTCCTGATGTCGCATTCTTTCTGCTAGCACGCTGACTTTCCCAAACTTTCAATGGCCAATGTTTCTTCGCCGAAGGGTTGCCAGAATGCTGCACGCGCGCACTCGATGATATCAACAAAGAACTATTGATCCTGATGCATGCTGTCCCATGAGACCATGCGGGCTACTCGCGCGCGCATGGCGACAACGTTTAATTCCGCGTGCCACGCGCGCAGCGCGTTGCACGCATGGTGAAAGCGCATACGATAACCGCATGTTGTGCATGTGTTCGCGCGCGTGCGCAAGCAAGGACAGTGTTACATGCGTGCGCGTGCGTTGTGTTTGGCACAGGCCACGTGTGCGAGTGAACCAGGGCACGGGCCCGGCACGCCACAGGGCAGACGGGGTGCGGGCCCCTCCCGAGAGCCAGGGGGGCGCGGGCCCTGAAAAAAGGCCAGGGCACGGGCCCCTCGGCGCAGGCGCGGCCCATGAGCCCGAAGACGACTGCGGGCGAATGCTCTGCGGCGAGGGCACGGGCCCCGACCGCGAGCGCGCCTTGGGCACGGGCCCAGGGCCGCCCACCAGCGCACCTGACCAGGCACGGGCCTGGGGGCGCGAGACCGGCGGCGAGGGCAAGAGCCCCGACCGCGAACCCACGGGCCACCCAGGCACGGGCCTGCGGGGCCAGCTCGGCGGCGAAGGCACGGGCCCCGACCGCGAGCTTCAAGGCCACCCAGGCACGGGCCTGCGGGGCCGGCCTGACGGCGAGGGCACGGGCCCCGGCCGCGAGGCAGCGGCGGCGAGGGCACGGGCCCCGACCGCGCACCCAAAGGTCACCCAGGCCCGTGCGGGGCCAGTTCGGCGGCGAGGACAGGGGCCCCGACCGCAAGCAGAGGCGGCGAGGGCACGGGCCCCGACCGCCGCGCACCCATAGGCCACCCAGGCACGGGCCTGCGGGGCCAGCACGGCGGCGAGGGCACTGGCCCCGTCCGCGAACAGAGGACTGGACCCGCCCAGGCGCGGGCCCAACTGGCACGGGCCAGGAAGAAAACAACGCTTCAGATGTAAGTTCGCCCCCACGCACCCCCCCGCCTAACCTTAATATGTTTCCGTTGCCTTCGTTGATCCAGGGCACTCAAGCCCTCCCTTCCCAACCCTCGCCTCCACGCACAGTTGCGGCGACGCGCGTGCCCTGGTCTGGCATTGATAAGTTGCCTTCCCATCGTGCGACCAGCGCGTGGACGCCGACAGGCTTCGGCAGGTGGTAGTGGGGGTTCACCATCGTCAAATGCCCACGAATTTTGTCAACCAACACAATGCTGGCCGTTCTCGCGCGTCTCCGCGCGCGAACTCCGAAGTCAATCCAAACAGTTTCATAACATATTTGTTCAAACGCACATACACACACGAACATCCAATTGTTTTCAATGCAGGTATGCCGAGCCATCGGAATTTCTGCCAGCGCGCACCCCCTCACCATCCTCATCAACACAATAGAAGTTAGAGTCGTTGGCATCATACTTGCCATCGATATCATCATGATCACCATCGTTGGGATCATCGCTGCCGTCGATGTCGCCCGCCCTCGCCAATTTTCTGCGCGCGGGTACTTCCTCTTCATCATCACCAGCGGCTTCGTCATCATCATCGCCAGCGCCATCGTTGCCAAAACCATTCTCACTGCCACACCACCAACTTAATCACCGTCACCCTCGTCGCCGTCAGTATCGTATCGTCCCCATCTCCACGGCTATCGCCATCGGCATCAATGTCGTCACCGCTGTCATCTCCATCGCCGTCGGTATCGCAGTCGTCACCATCACAACCACCATTTCGCTACCTGCAGAACACTTGTCTGATCGATTGGGTATCCCCTCCCCCTGCGCTCGTTAAAATAATGGCCGGATGAGCGGTGCCAACAAATTTCGAGTGGCAGGGTAGGATGCTTGCTCGAGCGTCGGAAGTGACGACTGCGATTTCCACAAGTGAATTACATCAAGCACCATCTAGTTTGCACCACATCTACCTGAACGCCATAATGAAATATTGGACAGGGGGAGGGGGAGGGGGCACGGCCGGTCAGAATAAACCAAAGGGGGAGCGAGGGAGGGGGAAATGGGGAGAGGGGAGGGGGACGGAAAACAGGGAGAGAAAGGGGGCACGGTCGGTCGGAATAAGCCAGGGCGGGGCACGGGACAGGGAGAGGGGAGGAGAGCACAGTCGGTCGGAATAAGGAACAGGGGAAAGAGGGGAGAGGGAAAGGAGAGGGGAGGGGGGCGGAGGGGGTCTCCTTTACTTTTTGGGTGCTCAGCTTTCCTTTTTGGGGGGCCTCCTTTGTTTTTTTGGGTGGTCTCCTTTACTTGTTGAGGGTATCCTGTACTTTTTGCGGGGCCCCCTTGACTTGTTTTAATGGTGTGTTTAGCTTTTGTGGTGGTCTGCTTTACTTTTTGGGGTGGTATCCTTTTTTGGAAGCTTTGCATGTTCGGTCTGCACCTCCCCCCCCGTTGCACCGGGCGCCCTCGGCGATGGCCAGGGCGACTCGCCTTCGCGAGGGCCCGCGATCCATTTATCTTTTTGCGCAGACCCCTCAGGCGCCCGTTGGAATCTGATCCCGCCATGCGAGCCACTCGCCGCGCTGCCATCCGCGCATCCGGATGCTGCGCGACAAGGCCTGGGGCGAGATCAATAACCTGATGGCGCTCATTTGCTGGAACGCGGCATGCGCGGTGGCCGAGTGGAATTCTGTCTGGATGGCCCCGGGCAGCGACCACGTGCGTCTTCGCGGCGACGTCCAGGCCGAGAGAGATGATGTAAAACAGCGAGAGAACCAGGTCCACGCACGCGGCCAGCGCGTCCAAGTCGCG